ATTATTTAAAGATTAAAACACAAAGATGGTACATGCTCTTTGTCTTGGGCAAGTGTTTATTTTTCACGGGGAAGTCCGGTGGTGGAGGCTCTGCTTCCGGACCTACTGGCCCCCGCCCATTCAGACTCAGTTTCTGAAGGTAGCATAGTTGAACACTGCCATTGCCACTCCCAGCCTGTTAGACAGCGAGGCTGGGCGCCCTCCTCCAGAATGCTCGTGGATTACAGCAAGGGTATGAATTTGAAGTTGATAAAGGCCAGAGAGGTGGTAAGAGGCACACCATCCCCGTCCTGCGGGACCACTGAACTGCCCAGGCTCCAGAGCCTGATGGGAAGACGGGGCACAGCCTCTGACGGGACCGTTCGTCCCCTCCTGGCCCCTCCGCAAGGCCCCCCGGGCACTCCGTTTGGGTTTGTTCGCTGTCTCCCCACAAAGCAGCCCCTCCACCGCCCTGTCCTTTCCCTCCCGGGGGAGCAAGCCCTATCACAGTGCCTTCACTTCCACCACTCTCGGAGGGGAAGAGGCATGACCTCAAGACTCTTGCCCTGGCACTTCTTGGAGGGGCCATCACCACCTGGGTGTCACCCCGGATCTAGGGGACTTCAGATTTAAAAATAGTGCATGTGCACGTGATCGGCATGGAGGCCTGAGGGTGGGGGAGTGGCTGGTACTCAAGCAAATGATTAACACACACAGACACGATTCCCCCATCTCTTCTCAAAAAAAAAAAAAAAAAAAGCGCAGCTTTCACCTACCATCTTGCAGTCGTCCAGGGTTCGCTGGGTCTTGCTGGCGCTCTCGGAGCCGCTGCCCCTGCGTTCCCACTCCCCGCTCTGCAGCTGGGGCTTGCTGATCTGAAAGATCGAGGAGCGGGTGGACCGGCTGGGGCGCTTTTTGCGCCCATTCGGTGCAGAACTCATGCATACACATCCACCAAGCCGAAGCCTCTGGTGCAGTGCGCCCCGGCGCGGGCGGCCCAGTCGTTGCCCTGCGCCGAGCAGCCGGAGCAAAAAAGGGCTGGGGCTGGCTGCGCGGGTGGGTAACCTTCAGCCTGAAGGAGAGCCGGGGGAGCGCGGGCTGTGCCCTGCAGCATCGCTTCCACTAGCAGCGAGGAGGAGGCTCGGTCAAGTTCTGCTCAGCAGCATCGCCGGCCCCGGCCCGGGAGCTGG